CATAGGCCTTATCAACAGCCCCAACGGTACTCGAACCATGGCATTGCAGCGTATAATCTTAATATGTCAACCACTACGCCACATTGCCACGAGTGTCCTTTGGTCACAGGCAGATGTGAATTTAAAGGAAGACCAGAAAATATTCTATATCATACCCTTTAATGATATTGTCAATGAGGCAAAGCTATATTTGCTATGACAATAGACTACATTACTTATTTATCGTTATAAGTACGTGATCACCTTAAACGAACTAGGACAAATTCATCTCATATGACTGATTTACTGGTGGTCTCGAAACTCAACTGATAAACCATAAATAACTAATCTAGTCGAATTTATTTGCAAATATAAGATCGCTTCATCGACAATCCCCTCACAGAAGATGATATGGGAAAATATCAGGCCCTCCTTGAAATTCACATCAGCACTCACGGTAATGTGGCGTAGTGGTTATCGTATCAAGATTACACGCTGCATTGTCATGGTTCGAGTCCCGTTTGGGTGTTTCTAAGGCATAGGCGAGATCGAAACCGCAGTAACCCTGGATAAGAACACCTTTATTGAAGTCAAGGCTTTAAGAAATTCAATGGCAAAAACAGTTCTACTCAGATGATTGTGGGAAAATTCAACTATCTGTCCTTCATCACCTAAAACGAAATAGAATGAATACATCTCATGTATGTATGTAGGCATTTGTGCATACATGCTTGTTTATAGGGTAGCCTATATCTTTGTCTAATGGTAGCTATGAACATCAAGATATCGTGGCCTCTATTTTGTTCGCAGCCTCCTTTCGATGCACAGAAATGGTTTGGCCTCATATTCGCAACCTGGCCGAGTTGTCAGAGTGATCCAGTTGGAAGCAGCTGTTCGAAGCCCTCTTATATAGTTGTCCGTGGACCTGGTAGATTCCTAGACTTTTCTCGGGTATTTCCAGATAGTCTTGCCATTCTCAACTCCAAGCTACAACTCGTCAACGAGACCAACTTTCTACCTGTCCCGGCAGATCCATCCACTCCATATGGGATGTACCAAGTCCACGGTCGAACGCTGGGAATGATCATATCTGCTATCATAAAGGACTCCGAAAATGGTGTGTCCAACTAGGTCCCCCTGACAACCCGACCGATTTGCGAAAACGAGACCAGAACACTTTCATATAATTGTCTGTTTGTTAACTCTTTTGTTTGTATGCCTCCTTGTCTGTGTGCTTTCAGGGCTATTTCTATCATCAGTTTTAAGCCAAATCCAATCTAAAAATTCTCGCTAACTCGCAAAAGACCAGATTTGGAGTAAAAGGCCCATGGATCTCGAGTCTGGTTGCAGGCCTGCCGAATCCATCTTGACTACCGGTTGTGGCCAACTTGCCAGGCGAAGTCGACCCTAGGCGATGGGCTAATTCTTCCCACTCATCTAAGCGATTCACCTCTTCTTTTCTGTATCGAGCATATGCACACTTCAGGCAACAGGCTTTAGTTCGCCTCATTCAACCTTACATCCACCCAAGTGCAGTCTGCCCTCTTCTCGTCGCCTCTTACCTCCCGAATCGGACGTTAGGTCAGTGTAGGTAATCTTGACGCCTAATTCACAATGCACAATTCACAATTCACAATTCACATCAGCCCCTTTGGCTAGATCCCACTCAAATCTCTCGCTCTACGCCAAACCCTCCCGCCCTGGCAACCGGATTCTGGTCCCGACCCTGGTCATAGAGATGAAGATGAGTCAGCGGGACGTCCGGAGAGCCCCGGGTCAGAGGGAGCAGTGGGCATCAAAGAAGCAAAGGGAGAGAGAAAGAGTTAATCTGTTTGTTGGGTGCACCAGCTGGCCGGGTGTGGGGCAAATGTCGGAACCCACTTGGGCAAGATCTACGACCGCTCAAACAAGTGTCCACAGATGTGTCCCAGCCTCCAGTTCCTCTCCACATTCAGCCTGGCTGAACCGATCGCCCATGTACAAGAAACACTGATAGTCTCGAGACCTACCTAAAACTAAAATAAGTAATCTATTCGATTGCAGTAGCAAATACAACTTTGCTACTTTTTCATTTATAAGTAGGCTTTCGAGAATACCGGCAGAGCATATATATATATATATATGAGATGTATTACCCCTATTTCGTTTAAGGTCAATTCTCCCACAGTCATATGGATAGTACTTATGTTTTCATTAAATTTCATGTAGCTTTGCTTTCCCAAAGGGTATTCCCATCCCTGCAGAAGTGAATCACAGTTTTATTCACGCCCAGGTTTCCTCAGCACCCGTAGAGGGACTCGAACCATGATGGTATAGTTTATAATCTCGACAGATTAACCATTACGCCACATTGCAACGAGTGACCTCGGATCAGAGGGCAGATGTGAATTGTAAGGAAGGCTAGGAATACATCTCATATGTATGATCTACTGATAGTTTTGGAAACCTACTTAAGAACGAAAAATTAATAATGTAGTCAGTTTCTGTAGCAAGTACAACTTTCCTTTGCCGACAACCCACTCACAGAATGTGAGTGAAATTCTCATCTGCCCTGTACTCCAGAGGCATTCGTTGCTATTTGGCATGTTGGTTAGTGCGTCGAAAGTATATTCTGCATTTTTAAGGTTCCAGTCCCGCTGAGGGCGTTGATGAGACCAATTCGGGCGAGGTCGGGTCTGTGGTCTACGCCAGCCGGGATAAGAAAACCATTTGGGGAAGCAAAGCTACGTGAAATGCAATGA